AGATGTAAAATTGAAGAGTTTTTTAACCTTTAAAAAAGATCTCCATTTCATTTTAGAATATATTGTTCCTTACAGAAAGGCTCATTGTTTTTGGTACTAACACTGAGATGTTGGTGCATGCATCTCTAATCTGTATGCATCTGATGATTTCTAGTCATAATCGGTTGCACTTGAATCCTTGGCGCCTGTGTATGTCTATGAAGTCATCGGGTAGATTTCATTGGTAATGTTTATCACCTCTACTAATTAGCATGATGTAAATTTCCATGTTTCCTCTTCATATATACATTTTTTAAAATTTGTTTTTTAAAAGAATTTTATTATTATTTTTTTGTCTTTTTGAAGCAGGGTCTCCCTGTAGCCCCAGCTGTCCTGGAACTCACTGTGTAGACCAGGCTGGCCTTGAACTCACAGAGATCCGCCTGCCTCTGCCTCCCAAGTGCTGGAACTACAGGCATGTGCCACCATGCCCAGCTTGATTTTTTTTTTTTTTAATGTGTGTGTATATCACACAGAACATCCCAAACCATCTTATTCAACTATACGCCCACTTCCCAGATGGCACCCTCCCATAGCCTCCCTCACCCCACTAGAGCCCTTATACTCTTGATATCCCTGCTACTGTCTGCTGGGTTTCTTTTGTTTTAATTCAGTATTTCATCCTAAGTATGCCATACATCCATAAAAGTAAGTCAAAATAAGAACTGATATGGTATAGTGGGAAAATGATAGGTTTTGAGATTGAGATCAAGTCCACTATCTTCTGTTCTGTAACCTCTCACATGCCTGCTGTGGTGCACAAATCTGAGGTTTATGTTTGCTGTGTTCAGAGGGTACTATTTTCAGGCTACAGTGTGAATAATGCCCTGTTCATAGTGCTCTCTAAGCCTCAGTTTCCTCTGTAAAATGGTATCTAAGTTTTAAGCAGGGGTCTTGGAATCCTCTACCTGATTAAGGTGACGCTCATAATACTAGGCAGAGCAAGGCTCCATTCCACGTTGTCATCTTCAGATATCTTTACTGATTGCTGTGCTACAGTTTTCCTGGATTATTTTAGGCTCTTTATTAGTCTTGCCTGTGATCGATTCCTTCCAGTCAGCTGCACAGGAACCCAACTACCTAAACTTCATATTTGAGCACATCCTACCCCTGTATTCATTTCCAACATGCCATGCTGTTGCCATAACACAGTATCAAGATTATTTTCTTTATGTTTTCTCGTCTAGATTACAGGTACCTTGATAGATGGCATGTTGTAAATCTTTTATCTCCCAATATCCAGCATAGTACCCAACATTTACTTAAGAGCATAATAACATTTATTGACTACTGTTATTTCATTCTCAATTTAGTGAAGCAGGTATTATCTGAGTTTTAAAGAAGAACTAAAAAATAGTTTAGAGAAGTTGCCAAAGGTCAAACAACTGATTTGTGGAAGAATCAGGATTCTAACCTAGAACTGAAATGCCATGCTCTTCAAAAACATATTTTGCTTATTTATTTGAAAATACTGGTATTTGAAACAAGGGCCTCATGCATGCTAGGCAAGAGCTCTACCATTAAGCTGTGCCTCTAGCTCAACAATAAAAACTATATAACCTTTTGTCACATACTAAATTCAAATTACCCAGTTTTAGCCTATAAGTCAAACCTATCTTAAAGATTGTGCAGGATGTAATTTTAAGAATTTTCTTTTTTAAAGAAATAGTTTGTAGTTTTTGCATATATTTAAAAGCTTTTTAAAATAAAGTTAATACCTAGATATTTTGTATAACTTGTATAAGATCGCCACCCCAATGCTAGAGTCTAATGTATGCCAGGTATATTATGCTCTTTCAGACAGAATCTTTGGCAAAAGCCCTTGATTTACACATCTTGATGCTCTTTCTTAAAATGTTGACCTTTTAGGTATACCTTGTCAAAGAAAAATTCCATAAACTGAACAAGGTGGTGATGAATTTACCCTTCAGCTACACTTTTCTGTGTTAAAAAAAATCAAAATACGACACACAAAAACTCAAAACTAATAAATTCAGCCAAGTTACAGGATATACAATACAGTATGTATTAAAAAAAATCACACTTTTCTACACTAACAATGAAAATCCCAAAAGGAAATTAAGGAAACAATTTATAATGGCATCAAAATAAAACATTTAAGAAATAATCATGAGGCAAGAGCCTCTGTCTCAGATAATAGTAATTATCATAAAAAGTACTAGGAAGAAAGGGAGAAGGGAATGGGAACTTATTGTTTAAAAAGTCGAGCTGGATAGTGGTACTGGTTGCAAAACTGTGTATATACTAGTGTCACTACATTGTATGGCTAGCAAAATATGACTAGAATGACAAATTCAATGTTTTACTGCAAAAGAAACTTGGCATGGCTTTAGGTATCACATGTTACCAATGGTTGTGAAGAGCAACTTGTACAAGCCATGGTTTTAAAATATTTTTATTTTATGTTTATGAGTGTATTACCTCATAGAAGTGCAGCCATGTCATGCAATGCTTGTGGAAGTCAAAAGAGGGCATTGGAGCCCGTGGAACTGGAATTACAGATGGTTGTGAGCCATGTGGGTGCTGGGAACTGAATCCAAGTCCTCTGCAAGAGCAGTCAGTGCTCTTAACCACTGAGCCATCTCATCAGCCCCATCTAAGGCCACAGTTTTGAGAGTCATGAGTAGGAATTCTTGAAAAGTCCAGAGATGACTAGGCACCAATTCTTACCTTCATGATAATACAATTGCTAGAAAATAACACATACTTTAAAAATAAAATAAGTATCTCAAAAGAAAAGGATCTTCCGTAACAAGATTTGTTACCTTTAAGAAGCCCAGATCATGTATTGAAATTGTTTTACATCCATAGATCTTAAGAAGCCTAGATAAGGGTTGAGGCTCAGTGATAGAGTTGCATGCTCAGTATTAATGAAGTTGTCCATGTCCTGAGTTCAATCCAAAACAAATGTGCATTTGTGTACACACACACACCTAGGTAGCTGTGTTTGTAGGGTGTAAAAGTCATCAGTGATCAGACTGAGGTCAGAATATCCAATCTATATTGGATATAGGTTATGTCAGTCCATTTATTCCTAAGGAATTTAGTTTTTTAAAAATGTAATGGTCCACATGATGATGGTCCCTTGAATATAGGATAGGGCTAAAACACTAATGAATGAGCTGTGTCCAAATTGAAAGGTGATTTTAAAAAAAGAATAGGCAATTCTAGAGAGAGGAGCCTCAGAAAATTGTATAATTTTTGTCCCTATGATGCTTAGCTGTCCTTTTCCTGACTCTTGAGTTGCCAACAGGGTATTTGTGCTCTTAAAACACTTCCCTCTGCCACCATGACTGTCAAACTAGTTTGAGAGACTTGAACCTTGAACTAATGATCCTATGAAGACATCTGAATGTCCTTTACAGGAATTTACTGTGGGGCTGTGCCAGTGCCAGCCGGCCAAAACAGACTACCTGAAAGGGGGAGTGAGGATTGAAAGAAAGAAAAGGAGACAGAAAAGATGCTTGGGAGGACTGACAGTGAACACTGCAGCCCCGGTTTATTTCAGTTCCACCTTTTATACAGAAGAACTCAATTAGTTTCCACAGCTGTTTTCCCCACCTGTATCTGAGGGTCAAGGAGGTCAGATACTTCAAAGCCTTCTTTGATCTTTTTGTCTGCCACTATTGCCTCCAGGTCAGATATTGTGAGGCTCTCCATATAAACACATTCCTCCTGATTTGGCAGATTAGGTACTGGTGTGCAGAACACAAACTCAGTAAACAAGCCTGCCACGGCTTAGGTACATAATAGACAAACAGCTCCCAACAGGGCTGGACATGATGCATGCCTCTAATCCCAGCACTTGGGAGACAGAAGTAGGTATATCTCTGAATTTGAGGTCAGCCTGAAATTCATAGTGAGTTCAGGCCAGCCAGGGCTACAGAGTGAGACCCTGTCTTAATTTTTTTTTTTTCCTGATTGGTCTAGGGCACAGTTGTAAAGCCACCTGCCCAGCATGTGAGGCCCTATGTTCAGTCCCTAATTCTGCTCCTTAATAGATGAAAAGGGCTTTGTTGAAATGCTCATCACTGGAGGGCTTCAAATGAGAATTAATGGAGTTAGAACAGAACAAGGTATTTTCTGCTTACCATGGAAACAGCTCCTTATGTGTCTTTGGTGATTTATTTTTCTGAAAGAATGTGGCAAATACTGGGAACTCAGTAAATAGAGTTTTTATTGGTGAAAAATGACTACTATGTTTAAATCAAAGGATAGATAATGGTCTTGGCCTAGTTTGCTGTACTAATTTAGATAGATCTCACTATGTAACCTAGGTGGGGGTTACCATGGTTATGGTCATGATTCATATACTGTAGATTTAACCTCAGATTACAGGTATGTGCCATCACATCAGGTCTGCAATATGTATTTAAGAAAACTATTCTTAAGTTTCTTCATTTTGCTTTCCCCTTTGTTTTAATCATCAAAATCCTTGAAAAATGTCAAAGGAAGAAAAAAAAATGAATGAATTAAATAGCATGAATATAGAGTAAAATTGGACTCAGCTTCTTGGAAACACTGAATGCTTGTTTGTCTACAGTTTTCAGCTCAGAGATTAGCATATACTAAGTATATATCAGGTAGACTTTGAATCAGTTATATTTAAGCCAGATGGAGGCTAGAGGTTTTAGAGTGTCGTTCTCCATCCAGTATGCCTCAAATATGATAAAAGTCTGCCAAGTCATAGCCCAAGCAGTGGTGTTGCTCATACTCAGCCCCATTTCTTTCTTACTCTGGGCCCTAATCAAGGCTACCGGCCTTCTGAATACCAACTGACAAATGAATATTCCAAGTCGGAAACCTGTCATTCTCTTAAAACCCAAAGAAGCCTAGTTGGTGAAATGTGAAATAGCTGTTCTTTACTTTGTTACTTTGGAGGGAATGTCATGGAATGCTCCAGATCACTGAACCCCTCAAAACTGGTGAGCAGGCCTCTGAGTCTTTCTCCTTCACACTCTTGAGGTGCACCTTAGCATGCCATCCAGAGTGCCTGCCACTTACTGCTTGCTTATTAGGTCTGATTTTCATAATAGCATTGATAAACTGGACTGATGTGATGTTCTGTAAATGGCCAAACAGTTGAGTACCCTTTGCACTAAAAGTGACAGCATGTGAAACATTGTTAGGACAAGAGCATTAACGTATGCTGTTGCCCACTCTATGAGAGTCTCTTTCCACGTCTGCCAGATCACTGGCTGGATACCATGGACCTGAGCTTCATTGCTCTCTAGAAAGATACCACACTTAATACAGCAGTATAGTTGGAGCTACTACTTAACCAAGCTTGGTTGCTGGTCACCTGCCTTATCAGTTTTCCAGAAGCCAGACTGGTGAATTAAATGAGCATATGATATGGATAAGTATACTCCCTCCCTCCCTCCCTGCCTCTCTCTTTCTTGTAAGACAGGGAGGGCCTTGCTATGTAGCCCAGGCTGGCTTGCAACTCACAAAGCAGACTAACCTTGAAGTCGTGATTCTCATGTCATCCTGAGTATTGGGATTACATGCCTGTACCATGACACCTGGATCCAATCTTGCATTCTTAAAGTTTTGAGGGAAACATTAGATTCTGCCACTCCACTAGAATGTTTATTATGTTGGTCATTGTCAGGGAGCAGTTCCAGGGGCTTCCACTTGGCTTTTCATACTACAATAGTGGCTCTTAGATGACTGGGACTGAGGATGGGACTCGGTGACAGTGCCTGAGCTATAATCTCCATCTGAGCCTTTTGATTTCTTTCACTATAATTTCCTATGAAAGTTAAAGTAATCTCTACTTCAGTGTGGATTAGGATTGTTACTTTTCTCCAACTTCAAAAAGCTTCCTTTAGTTCAGTGCATAACATTGGAATGATACAGAGATTAGCATGACCCTTTGTGTAAGGATGACACATGAATTCATGAAAAATTCTGTATTTTTATTTTTAAATAAAATTTGCAGTGATACAGTGAAAAGGGGGCATCCAAGTAGTATACAAAATCATCTCTTGGGCTCCTTGTAGGATGTTAAATCCTTTATCGCAGGAGACTACCCCAATATTGGTAAACTCTTCTTTAAGTCCCCCACATTTGTCGAGCCCCCAGGAAGCACACACTCCTAGCACTTGTAGGAAAGATCCTACAGCTACTTTTATATGTAATCTTTTTCTCCTTAGCAGACTCTGTACTTACCTAGCTGTGCTAGTTGATATTAGTTATAATTCTGGTGGCCAGGAGGTGAGATCAGGGCAGATCATGAGGATCTGTGGTGTTTTATAAATTCCCAACGTGGGGATGGGGTAGGGAGTGGGCATTTATCTTCACATTTGGGACAGTGAGTCACTTCTATAGGCCCAGAGGAGTCAGAGGAATCTCAAGGTTCAACCTTTTCAAATGTAGCTACCTACCTATCTTCACCTTATTTCTCAAGGCTACAGTTCTTCCTTATTAGGACCCAATTTTTGTGAGAACATTTGCCTATGCTAGGAATTCAACTTTTTCTAACATCCCCCACTCTTATTCTATGTTAATAATTTTGCCTAATAACTTTCTGCCCACTGGCTGCAAAGGAGAGGGTCCCTTTAAATGTTACCAGTGAGGACCCTTGGAATAAAACATATATAAGCTAGGGATCTTTACCATATGAAAGGAGTACAGAGAAAAGAGTGACACGATAAGCTTTGCCTGCAAGATTCGGGGAACTCTTCCTAGAGGAAAGAAGCACTGTCCAAACAGAGGGATACAGGATTTCTCTAGAAAAGGAGTCATGTCCTGATAGAATATAGTTTCTAGATTTTTTTTCTCCATCACATCACCTGCCTATAAGCTGTCAATGTCTCAGAAAGTGTGCCTAGAAACCCCGAAACTGTCCAAGCCAAAGGAAAGCATACTGGTGAGCTGGTGAGCCAGTATGCTCACCTGTGACTTCAATCTACTAGCCAAATTCAATGATCACCATCTATGCTGAGGGCCAGCTTCAGTGATTTATTACCCTGCAAAGCAAGAAGAAAGTGAGCATAGCCTTGTGCACAGCAACAAATGCCAAATGGCATCAACTGCCTGGAGAAGTCAAAAACCCTCTGAAAAACACTGGAGGCTGCAAGAGTCCACACCCTGTCACTTTAGGGTACAGGGTTGAGGAGGGGAATCCTAAGGGCTTTTGAGCTGAATTCTGAAGTAGCAGAGTTGCTCAGGCAGTTTGTGGGGAAAGTCTTCCAGGTAGAGGCAACAGCCAGTACTCAGACTCACTATAGGAGGGAGCTCAGTGTTTAGGAAAAAAAAAGTGGGACTGTATAGGAGTGAACCAGGTAAGAGGTTAAGGGTTTGGGGAGGAAGGCCAGGGCCAGGCTCCGCTGTGCCTTTAGACCACACAGGTTTAGATTTTATTTGCGCCTCTTAAAGAATTTAAAAAGGGACTGGAGAGATGGCTCAGGTTAAGAGCACTGGCTGCTCTTGCAGAGGACCCGGGTTTGAGTCCTAGCACCCACATAGTGGCTAATAACCATTTGTAACTCCAGTTCCCAGAGATCCAAAACCCTCTTCTGACCTCTGTGAGCATTGCACATCATGGGTACACTTATATACATACAGGAAAAACATTCATAAACATAAAATTTTGTTAAAAATTAAACTGGACATGGTGGTGCACACCTTTAATCCCAGCACTAGGGAGGCAGAGGCAACTGATCGCTATTGAAATCGAGTCTGGCCTACATCGTGAGCTCCAGGGAGACCCTGTCTCAAAAAGACCTAATTAATTAATTAATTTTAAAAAGAAAAGGGGGAACCTGAAAGAAATGACAAATATGAGAGGAGATTAATATACTTTACCTGAAACATTATGTAATATATACATGTAATTGACTATTACATGGTATCCCATTATATGAGAGGAGATAAATATAATTTACCTGAAACATTATGTAATATATACATGTATTGACTATTACATGGTATCCCATTATATGAGAGGAGATAAATATACTTTACCTAAAACGTAATATATACATGTATTGACTATTACATGGTATCCCATTACTAGGCAAATTTTTATATTATTCTATGTGTATGAGTGCTTTTCTTGCATATGTGTAAGTGCACCTGTGTTTTGCAATGCCCATGGAAGTCAGAGAGGGCATCCAATCACCTGGAACTGGAGTTACAGATGGTTGGTTGTTAGTCACCCTATGAGTGCTGGGAACTGAACCCTGGTCCTCTGCAAGAGCATCCAGTGCTCTTAAGTGCTAAATCATCTCTCTAAATCATCTCTTTAAGGGATCTATTAGAACCTAAAACTTGGGACTTGAGAGATGGCTGAGCGGTTAAGAGCACTGACTGCTCTTGCAGAGGACCTGGGTTCAGTTCCTAACACCCACATAGTGGCTAACAATCAGCCATAACACCAGTTCCAGGGGATCTGATGCCCTCCTCTGGCTCCATGAGAGTATTGCATGCACATGTGCACTTACATACATGTAGGCAAAACACTGATAAACATAAAATTAAAATAAATTTTTAAAAAAATCCAGGACCTCCCTCTGCTTCCCTGGGCCTGCACAACCCAGCCTCTCTCCTGGGTAAGTCCACTGCACCCTCTTTGCCTTGACTCCCCCAGCCCCATTCACCCTCCCATCTCCCCCACCCATCTCTCCTCCTAGCCTGGGTACTGTCCCATTCCTTGTCTGACACCCCAGACACCAAGGGAACCACAACTGCTTCCTGATCCTTTGCATGCAGACCAACCCAGTTCCTTCTCCCAGTCCCAAGGAGCCCTCTGGGTCTGGTCCTGCCCTCACCTCCCTCTGCTTCCCTGGGTTGCACAACCCACCAGCCTCTTTCCTGGACACCAGGAGCTGTCCTCTCAGCTTCCTGATCCTTTGCATCCAGACCAACCCAGTTCCTCCCTGCAGTCCCCAGGAGACTTTGGGGCCTCTTCCCACCCCCATCTCCCTTTGCATCTCTGGGTGGCACGGCCACCAGCTGCCCTAGACCAGCATCTTTCCTGGACCCTGCTCCCAGGCCAATCCAACTCCCAAATTCCTGAGGACATCTTTCCTGGTGGGATCCAGACCTTAGGAGAAAGCCTGAGAGCATCTGATCCTCATGTGACTTGGGCCTCTGTGGGAACTCTGGAAGACAAAAGAAATCTGGCCACTCCAATAAAAAATCAAAAGAGAGAACCAGAAGCTTAGATGAACCAGCTTTTCATGCCCAAAAAGTAAACCACAAGGCACATAAAGTTCACAAAAAGAAACAGACCTAAATTTGAAGGCCTGAGTCTCACACAAGAATCTGAAACTACAAAAGAAATTCACATGTCAAAATCACAGAGAAAAAATAACAGAAAAACCAAAATAACATACCCCACCAAATATCAATAGTCCTCTAGAAGAGTACAATGAGAACCCCCTAGAGATAATGCAGGATATGGAACTCAAAAGAACAATTATAAACATGATAAAAGAATTCAGTCAATTTAAAGAACACACAAAGAACTGAAGGAAGATAGGGAAGCCTCACCAATAGGATGAATGAAATGGAAAACAGAGTATCAAGACTGGAAAATAAAGTGGACGAACTAGAACACTCAAGCAAAGATTATGAAAAATTTAAGAAAGCACAAGAATGGAATGTGCAGGAATTGTGTGACACCATAAAAAGACCAAACTTACGAATCATAGACATACAGGAAGGGGAAGAATCCCAAGATAATGGCATGGACCATTTTCTTTAAAGAAAGAGATTGAGGAAGACATCAGAAGATGAAAGGACCTCCCATGCTCATGGATTGGAAGAATTAATATTGTAAAAATGACCATCCTACCAAAAGCCATTTATAGATTCAATGCAATGCCAATCAAAATCCCCATGACATTTTTCACAGAATTGGAAAAAACATCCTAAGATTCATATGGAAGCACAAAAGACCTCAGATAGCCAAAACAACCCTGAGCACTAAGAGCAATGCTGGGGGGATTACTATACCAGATTTTAAGCTGTATTACAGAGCTATAGTCATAAAAACAACATGGTACTGGCACAAAAATAGACCCATAGATCAATGGAACAAATTTGAAGACCCAAATATAAGTACATGCAATTTCAGCCACCTGATATTTGTCAAAGGGGCCAAGAACATTCACTGGAGGAAAGACAGCATGTTCAGCAAATGGTGCTGGCAAAACTGGATCTCCACCTGTAGAAGAATGAACCTAAAAGCCTTTCTTTAGCCTTGCACAAAAGTCAATTCCAAATGGATCAAAGACCTCAATGTAAAGCCTGAAACTCTGAAACTGTTAGAAGAAAACATTGGCAATAACCTATAAGTTAGAGGTGTAGGAAAGGATTTTTGAAACTGAACATCAATTGCTCAGGAAACAAGCTCAAGAATAAACAAATGGAACCTCATTAAATTAAAAAGCTTCTGTACATCAAAGGAGGAAACCAGGGAAGTGAACAGAAAACCCACAGAATGGGAGAAAATCTTCACCAGCCACACATCTGACAGAGGATGTGTTTAACATCCAGAATATATAACAAACTAAAAAAACAGAGAATCAAGACAGGAAGTAACCCAATTAAAAGATGGGCTAAGGAGCTGAACAGAGAGTTCTCAAAAGAAGAAGTAAAGATGGCTATGAAACATCTTAAAAGATGTTCAACATCACTAATAATTAGGGAAATGCAAATTAAAACCACTTTAGGATTTCATCGTACCGCAGTCAGACTGGCTAAGATCAAGAAAACAAATGATACCAAATGTTGGAGAGGATGCGGGGAAAGGGGAACACTCATCCACTGCAGGTGGGTTTGCAAAATTGTTCAACTCCTATGGAAAACAGTGTGGAGCACTCTTTAAAAACTACAAATGAACCCACCATTTGACCCAGTTATACCACTCCTTGGCATATACCCAAAGAACTCATCCTATTGCAGAGACAC